TGACATGATATGGCCAATATCATTTTGCTCCTTTTGATCTCCATCTTTGGGGCTCCATGATCATCGTTGTCACCGGCATGACACCATGATCTCCATCATCATGATCTCCATCATCGTGTCTTCTTGAAGTTGTCTCGTCATCTATTACTTCTACTACTATGGCTAACGCTTTAGCAATAAAGTAAAGTAATTACAAGACGTTTATGTTGACACGCAGGTCATAAATAAATAAATAAAGACAACTCCTATGGCTCCTGCCGGTTGTCATACTCATCGACATGCAAGTCGTGATTCCTATTACAAGAACATGATCATCTCATACATCACATATATCATTCATCACATCCTTTGGCCATATCACATCACAAGGCATATGCTGCAAAAACAAGTTAGACGTCCTCTAATTGTTGCTGCAAGTTTTTACGTGGCTGCTATAGGTTTCTAGCAAGAACGTTTCTTACCTACGCGAAAACCACAACATGATATGCCAATTTCCATTTACCCTTCATAAGGACCCTTTTCATCGAATCCGATCCGACTAAAGTGGGAGAGACAGACACCCGCTAGCCACCTTATGCAACTAGTGCATGTCAGTCGGTGGAACCAGTCTCACGTAAGAGTATGTGTAAGGTCGGTCCAGGCCGCTTCATCCCACGATGCCGCCGAATCAATAGTCGTACTCGTCGTGATCCAAATCACCGATGATCCTAGTGCCGAACGGACGGCACCTCCGTGTTCAACACACGTACAGCCCGGTGACGTCTCCTACGCCTTGATCCGGCAAGGGGAGAAGGAGAGGTTGGGGAAAACTCCATCCAGCAGCAGCACGACGGCTTGGTGGTGGTGGAGGAGCGTGGGACTCTAGCAGCGCTTCGCCAAGCACTACGAGAGACGAGGAGGGAGAGGGGTAGGGTTGCGCCAACAGGGAGATTCAATCATATCTATGGCAGCCCAAAACCTCAAGTATATATAGGGGGAGGGGAGGGGCTGCGCCCCCACCTAGGTTCCACCCCTAGGGGTGGCGGCCAGCCCTAGATCCCATCTAGGGGGGGCGGCCAAGGGGGGAGAGGGGGGGCGCACCACTAGGTGGGCCTTAGATCCATCTGAGCCTAGGGTTTGCCCCCTTCCACTCTCCCTTGCGCCTTGGGCCTTGGTGGGGGGGTGCACCAGCCCACCTGGGGCTGGTCCCCTCCCACACTTGGCCCATGCAGCCCTCCGGGGCTGGTGGCCCCACTTGGTGGACCACCGGGACCCTCCCGGTACATTACCGATAAAACCAGGAACTTTTCCGGTGACCAAAACAGGACTTCCCATAAATCTTTACCTCCGGGCCATTATGGAACTCCTCGTGACGTCCGGGATCTCATCCGGGACTCCGAACAACACTCGATAACCACGTATATCTATTCCCTATAACCCTAGCGTCATCGAACCTTAAGTGTGTAGACCCTACGGGTTCGGGAACCATGCAGACATGACCGAGATAACTCTCCGGTCAATAACCAACAGCGGGATCTGGATACCCATGTTGGCTCCCACATGTTCCACGATGATCTCATCGGATGAACCACGATGTCGCGGATTCAATCAACCCCGTATACAATTCCCTTTGTCTATCGGTACGATACTTGCCCGAGATTCGATCGTCGGTATCCCGATACCTTGTTCAATCTCGTTACCGGCAAGTCTCTTTACTCGTTCCGTAACACATCATCCCGTCATCAACTCCTTGGTCACATTGTGCACATTATGATGATGTCCTACCGAGTGGGCCCAGAGATACCTCTCCGTTTACACGGAGTGACAAATCCCAGTCTCGATTCGTGCCAACCCAACAGACACTTTCGGAGATACCTGTAGTGTACCTTTATAGCCACCCAGTTACGTTGTGACGTTTGGCACACCCAAAGCACTCCTATGGTATCCGGGAGTTGCACAATCTCATGGTCTAAGGAAATGATACTTGACATTAGAAAAGCTTTAGCATACGAACTACACGATCTTTGTGCTAGGCTTAGGATTGGGTCTTGTCCATCATATCATTCTCCTAATGATGTGATCCCGTTATCAACGACATCCAATGTCCATGGTTAGGAAACCGTAACCATCTATTGATCAACGAGCTAGTCAACTAGAGGCTTACTAGGGACATGGTGTTGTCTATGTATCCACACATGTATCTGAGTTTCCTATCAATATAATTCTAGCATGGATAATAAACGATTATCGTGAACAAGGAAATATAATAATAACCAATTTATTATTGCCTCTAGGGCATATTTCCAACAGATACAGAGGCAACTGAAAGACTATAAGCACAACACTAGAGGACCTCACAGAAGATGAATGTACAATCTTGGGGGACCTAAATGCAAAAAAACGTGTGTTGCCAATGTACGCCATTGTAGCCGAAGCTTTGATGGACAAAGGGGACACACCAACTTTCCATGGTCGTATAAGTGTCATATTAGACAAAGTTGTGTTGTGAACCGACAAAGCGAGCTATGAGTGATTGGTGGTAGGTTTGAATTGTACTTAGGAAGATTTGATTCATTCTATAATGTAAGAATTTCAATGTAAAGAATTTCTCTGCCCCCTCCTCGAAGTGGAGACACGAAGCCATCATCCCGGAACCACACATATCGTGTCCCGCTGACAATCTTCCAGATGAGATCATTGTTGCCATTGTGCTAAGGGAGGCAACACCAGCAACCCCGCTGCATTAGGAACAAGGCCACAAAATGGAAGACAAACCGTTATAGCAGACACCAACATGACAGCGAGATTAAAGCACACATGGTCTCGAAAATGTTGCCACCGTCAGGAAAAATCATGCTTGGAACATAGATCCACACCAAAGACATAAGGCACTGCATCACAAAGGTATCGAGAAGCAATCTATTCCCTCTTGGCATCGCTACCAACAAAGAGGAGATCATGGCGGACCGAAGCACTAAGCAAACTAGCCTGTCGTGCGTGACGTCAGCCGACACCAATCCCGTCGGCGACCAAAGGTTGTAAGGGAGGAAAGCCATCGTAGACAACATCGGCAGACGGTATCGCATCTTTCTCGCATCGGAAGAGAAGAGTGAAGCAACTCCCTGGGAATTGCAGTGCATACTCTGTTTCCCTCATCCTTTTGTGGGCGACATTCTTAAAATAAGCACCGAGAAAAGAATTATAATTCATGGCGCCTCCCATCTTTCTCGAACCTACCTGGGCTTCTCATTATCCCCAACAAACTCCCTGCCTCAGCCTACCAACTTATCGTTGACACATTCGATCGATATCTATCTAGATGTACTGCTCCTCTCCTTACCAAGGGACGGCTCTTGGTACTCCTCTCTACCGTGCTAGACTCACTACCCACTTATTTTATGGGGCCCTTTTCTCTCCCCCACAAAGCTAATTGAAATATTGGATAAAAAGAGACAATCAAAGATACATGCTCCGGTGCACAATGCTTGGTTGACTGGGACAAGGCTTGTAAACCGAAATCTGCATGTGATCTTGGTATTAAAAATATTCAGGCACAATTTTTTTATGATCAAATTTACATTCAAGTTCCTTCATCCCACCAGCCTACCTTGGAAGCAGTGGATCATGCACGAGTCACCCTTTCCTGACGCTTATGGAGACAAGGGATCTTATCTTGCCAGATTTTTTTTTTTGCGGGAATTATCTTGCCAGATTAGTCCACACAAATTTAGACAGTTTGAGAGAATTAATACAATGTTGTGTGCATGATGGCAAGTTATTTTTCTTTTGGCTAGATAGATGGCTACTACATGTTTAACTTTCCACTGCTTTTCTTGCAATTTATTCTCACCACCCGCACCCAAATGCATTTGTTCATATTATCTTACATGAGGAGATCGGCTCTGACCTGCGTAATAGACTAACCACTATTGCAACACAAGAAAATGTTTCCATGAGTTCTCCTATGCAAATTGTATTCCTCTTTGAAACGCCAGATCAGCGATGCATTGTTGGAGGCCAAGCTCTCTCAACAAAGGCCGCACACTCCACCATGTACAACAGTACAAGGCAGTTGATGATCCTGCACCGAACTTGGTGTTGTCCTCCAGGGTTCGAAACAAGGTCAAGATCTTTGGATGGGTACTGCACAATGACAAAGTAAACACTTGCAAAAACCTACACCGAAAGACTATCCTACAGCCAGACAAGTGTCTCAGATGCCTGCACCACACACAGACATGCTTACACCTGTTCCATGTGCCCCAAGGCAAAAGCTATTTGGAGGACAATTGGCATCGGACCAAACTGCAATAACATAAGCTCATTTGCAAAACCAACTTCCCAACCCACATTCCCGAGTCACTCCATGCTTTCATGATGTTGATCTTTCTCTAGAAGACCTGGGGTGCAAGAAACACACTCGTTTTTCGGCAACTCCAGCTAAGGCCATCTCAAATGTAATTTCGGATTTTTTTTTTAATCTGGTTTTCGACCTCATTTCATTTGGAGGAAATCAAAACGTAGGATTTAGAAATAGTATATAGGAAGTTGATAGGATGAAATTTGCCATCCTAAAGGATTGTCTTGCCCGTTCCTACGCACAAAATGAGCTTTGAGTGGGTGTATAGATTCATCCAAACAAAAAAAAATGAATAATATTTCTACGAAATTCCCGTGCGTATTTTTCCTACTAACCGAATGCATCTATAATTTATTTTTCTCTCCGAATCTTTGATCCTATGCTTTTTTATATAAAAATCCTTCAAACCAAATCAGGCCTGAGACTTAAAAAAGCTTGGACTTTGTGGTGACGCCAATCTGTTTTCACGCGCCATCCAAAGAACAGAAGAATCACGTTTGTACATGTAACAATTGAGCCACAACACACAAAGGTCAGTTACCAGTACCAAGTGCTAGATTTGCCTTACGATCAAAAAAAAAAGTGCTAGATTTGCCTTGGAACCATTAGTGAAAAAGAACCCGTAAAAAAGCTCGCTCAAAAATCAAAATCTCTCAGCACTTCAGTACCGCCGGCTCTGCAGAAGCTGGCTCATCGAGTCGTACCCCAGCGCGCGGTGCAGCAGCAACGGCACCTGCTGCGCACCGGCACCGCCGCTCCTGCTCGCCGCGCGTTCCAGCTCACCCGAGCCGGACACCCCGCTCGTCCGGCGCGCGGGGCCAGCGGTACCCGCGACCGCGGGAAGCGCCACCTCGAGCACTTTCTCGCACCCGCCGCACCGCAGCCTGACGCTTCCCCTCCTCCGCGACGGCACCGCCGACGTGGGCGCCTGGAGAAGCTCCGAGCACTCGCCGCAGACGACGAACGGCGCGCCCCCCAGGACCGGGAGGCAGTGGCGCCTCCTCTGCGGCCTCGCTGCGTGCCGCTCGCCCTGTCCGCTGGACGACGACGCCGACGACGACCACGAGGCGGAGCCAGCGCTCGAGTAACCGTTCCGGCGCGGGCCACGTGCCGCCGCGCTGTCGGCGGGAAGCTCCTCCGCGAGCCGCGACTCCAGCCGCCGGAACAAACGAGAGTCGCGCCGCGTCACGGCCCCGCTCCCGCCGCTCGCCTGCCGCGGCTGCAGCTCGATGCTGGCAATCATGCCGCGGAGCTTGTCCAGCGCGTGCAGCAGGTCCCTTTGGAACGCCGGGTCCGTCAGGGGCGACGCCGTGGCAGCGGACACGCTGGCAGACGTCCTGAGCTCCCTAGAGCTCAGCGCGGATTGCCGGAGCTGCTGCTGCCCGGACGACGCGTTCCTCGGCGCCTCCTCGGGATCCGGGACAGAGAAGTCACGTCGGCGCAGAATGCTCGGGTCGGAAGCGCTCAACGCCCGCCTCGTCCGCCGAGACGACGCCCGGAGCGCATCGACGCGACTGTTCACCGGTCGAACGACTCGAACCTCGTCCTGTCCATCCGAGCCAATGAGGCCGTCTTCGACGCCCCGAGGTAGGCAGCTATTGCTCCGAGGTTTGCCGGCCCGTGGTGAACCGAAGCCTCTGTGCGGCGACGGCGAGGAAGCAGCCGCAATCCCCTGGCTGTTGGCATCAGAGTTGGAGTTGTAGCCGCACGAGAAGGGAGGTTGGTCGCCGTCGACGTCGATGACCGAGGGCTGCGTAGTAGAGGAACCCTCGAGCTCGTCGGAGAAGACCGACTCTGTGTCGACGGCCGAGAGGATCTCCAGACTGCTCAGAGCGTTGTCCGTTTCATCGTCTGTCGGCTCCGTGTTCTTGCCTGCGGACAGAGGCAGAACGGGACCGAAGCAAATTAGAGCAGAACTCGACGGCGCGCATGTGTCGCACGGTGATTATGCGGCGCACCTCGGATCGGAGTGCGGCATTTGGTGCAGTAGTAGATGGCGGCGCTGGTGCTCTGGCAGATCATGGCGCGGCAGTACGGGCACCGGCCGAACCGCGTCTTCGCGCCCCCGGCCGGCATCGTCGCCGCCGCCGCCGCCGCGTGTCCGGCACGTTGTTTTCTGTCCTTGGAAGCTTAGACGATGGTTGGAGAGCAGCTACTACCTACGATTCATTGAATTAGTTGGACAAAAATTAGGAAGAACGTTGGGGTGTCCATTTCGAACCTGAACAAGTGGTTCGTCAAAATTTAAAAAAGCTCAACTAAAGGCTTCATTGGACACAAGGGCCAGAGGTCAACCAGTAGGTTAACTGCTTATGACAGGCCTTGAGCGGCAAGTCATTGAATTGGTCATGTCATTCTAGGATGCTTCTTCATCAATGGCATTTAGAGAGCAAAGTCAGAACTATATACTAGTAGTAATCCGGAATGCAGATGTAGATCCTGGACTACCTTTACGGAGAGACAAAAAAGAAAGAACTTTCGATATTGAGACGAGCTAACTAGTATTACATGGCATCGGATTGTTGAGGCATAGGCTCAGGAGTCAGGCCCATTCATGGACAAATTTGATGCAAAACAGTAGGAAGGTTCTGAAATATGGAACTATTAGATTCGAGAGCAGCAAACGAAGACAGGAAATGAAGAACAGGCAGACCGCACCTCTCCCGTTGTCAAAATCTTCTTCAGAGCTTCTCCGTTTACCCACCTCTTCGCGGGCTTGTCCGTGATAACATAGCACGGTGCCTCTATGGCGGGCGGACGGATTTCTGAAACGTGAAGACACAGGGAAGAAGAAGTAGGAGGAGGAGCGCCCAGCCAGAAAGAGTCGTCCTCCCTCGAGACAGCAAAGATACAGCACTCCGAGGAAGTGCTATTTTAGTAGGTGGCGTACGTGGAAAGAAGTGGCCATGATTTGGTAGTTGGAATTGGAACACAGCATTCAGCTGCTTTAAATTTGCAAAAAGGACCTTTTTATAGTAATAATCGAAAATTGAAAAGTTCAATCTTTTCTCTAGAAGAAATTGAAAAGTCCAATCGCAACTCGCAAGGGGAGGTTTTTTTTTTTAGGTTAACTAGGGAATTTATTCAAGGTTCAAAAATTCAGGGAAATAGATAATATCCGGAACTAACCCTAGCCACAAGTGTCGTCCCACATCTAGGGAGGACGCTGCTTTTGCTAACATATGAGCTTCGTAATTAGCTTCCTGAGGTTCAAACCGGAAGCAAACATCATCAAAATCATTCCTTCGATACTGAATCTCGTTCAGAATTGAGGCATAAGTGGCAGATGTCCCCTTATTGATACCATTGATGACCTCCAAGCAATCAGCCGCCACCACCACATTCCTCAAGGCAAGGTCTTGGGCAAGAGCCATCCCCTCATTGCATGCATAGGTCTTCAAGCAGGCTGGGTCCACAAGGCCATCAAAGATGATGGCTGAGGCGCCTAGGTAATGTCCATTGCTATCTCTGCAAACAGCGGCTGCTGCTCCCCTATTTCCATTCCGCGATACACCTCCATCTGCATTTATTTTTACTGCTGTTCCACCAGGAGGAATCCACTTGCGAACTCTCTGTCTTGGCGCAGGTGGTGAAGGCCTGGTAAGTTCTCTTGCAGCAGCGATTTCAAGGTCCTGTAGATATCTGTTGATAAAACACATGGTTGGTAGGGGGCTCTGGAACTCTTCATCGTGAATCGCTCGTCTCCTCGCCCACCAAATCGCCCACAGTGTGATCAGTACACGAGCGAGATCCTGCTGGTTAGGCCTCTTTTGGTTCATAGGATAGGATTATCGTAGTAATAGGAATCTTGTAGGAAATGAGATGACATGTATCTCAAATCCTATGAGTAGGAATAGGAAACAAGATGTCATTTGGTTGACACCAAAGGAATTTTTCCATTGAGTCTAGGCTCATTTTTATTTTCCTATGAAATGTGAAGGATAGGAACCAATCCTATATAGTAATAGGAATCCATTCCTATGAACCAAAGGCTCTAAAGGAAAAAAAATCCTATAAGAATTCTATCCTCTAGAATTCCTATGAAATTCCTCCAAATCAAAGGAGGCCTAAGTGTTTCAAACAACCAAAATAGCTATACACGAGCATCTTCAGACCGGTTTGACAGCACATGCTCCAAAACTTCTTCGTCCCCCAAAGCCCATACACATCTGGCCATGCGACATCTTCTATATCTAAATAGTTAGGCCCCCACTAACCTATTTCTCTCAACATGCAAGCATGCCACCTCATCAAGCAACATGCATTAGAAAAGACCCACTTCAACATTCAATGAGTCATAGGAAAAGGTTGACTTCAACATGCAAACATGCATGATATATTTAATAAATATTTTACAAAAATACAATAATCAAATACAATAAACCATATGTATTTTTAGATTTAGCTCACATATTATTTCTCCAAATATTCTTATTTCCATAAAATTATTAATATCTTAGAAAAATATTGTAAAATAATCCCGCAACAACGTGCGGGAGATCGTCTAGTTCAAATAGCGAGTGTCCCCACGTATCTTCTTCCGCGCAAGGGGAGGTTTGCCTGCTCTCGAAAAAAAAAAGCTCGAAAGGGGATGGAGAATCGGCCTCGGGCCAAAGCCCGATATAACTCGCTGGCCCATTGTTTTCTCGCTCGGCCCATCGTTATCCCATCCGCGCGCGTGGCTGCAAGCCCCTGCCCGCCACGTAGCACATTCCGCAGCCGCAGCTCGGCTCACCTCAGCCTGCTCACCTCCACCTCTCAAACACGCGCGCCTCCACCTCCTCCCATGAGAGGCGCGCCATCCTCTCCATGGCCTCCTCCTCCCTCCTGCCCCCGCCCACCTTCGCCAACAAGTACCATGCGCTGCTCCACCCGCACGGCGCCAGGCACCGGCTGACCAGGTGCGGTGCCGCGCCCACCGACGGCGGCGCGGGGGACGAGCTCCTCACCGGCGCGCTGAATCTGAACCTGGTAAGGCCCGACCCGGTGGTGGCGACCGTGGTCAGCGACACGGGCACCGATGGCTGGGGTGACCTTTTCACCGAGCTCAAGAGGTCGCTGCAGGCGGACTCGTCCGACCCGGCCGCCAGCGATTCGTCATCCATTGGCGCGGCTGTCCCGGACGGGCTCCTGAGCTCGCCTCTGGCCGGCGAATCGGCCAATGCCAACGCGGCCCTCGTCGTCCCGGAAGGGGTCCTGACGAGCTTGCCGGACTCGGCGACGGACGGCGTGGGCGCGGCCGTGGACGCCATCCCGGACGAGCTCCTCTCCGCGCTGAACCTGGACGCGTCCAGCCCGGCGGTGCGCGTGGCGGACGACGCGCTGTCCCGGATGGAGGAGCTGACGGCGGGGATGAACGAGGCGGAGCGGTGGGCGCTGTTCGGGGTGGTGGCGGTGACGTGGCTGTACCTGACGGCGCGGCCCGGGGTGCTGAGCGGCGCGGTGGACACGTACGTGTTGGCGCCGCTGCAGCAGGCGCTGGACACGCTGCTGGGGCGGCGGAGCCTCAAGATGAGCGACTTCGTGGTGGGCGAGCGCATCGGGGAGGGGTCGTTCGGGGTGGTATTCTCCGGCGCCGTGGTGCCCAGGGGCGGCCCCGCCGTCGAGGAGAGGGCCGGCAGGGCCAAGACCAAGCTCCAGCTCGACGACCGGTACAAGGAGAAGGTCATACTCAAGAAGGTGAGGGTGGATTGGAAGCGACGCTAGCTCGATCGGCTCCGCCGGGGTTGCAAGCAAAAATGGCGACGAATCTGATGGGTGGACCGGCGGTGCGTGTTTTGATTTTGCAGATAAAAGTGGGGACGGTTGGAGCCAAGGAGTGCGGCGACTACGAGGAGTGGTTCAACTACCGGGTGGCGAGGGCGGCGCCGGAGTCGTGCGCGGATTTCATGGGGAGCTTCGTCGCCGACAAGACCAAGTCGGAGTTCGTCAAGGGCGGCAAGTGGCTCGTCTGGAAGTTTGAGGTATGCTTCTTCATAAATAATGCAAAATATTTTTTAAAAGGGAAAATGGGGAGTTTTATTCCAATATTGTTGGACTACAGTGCTACACTCTGCACGCACGATTATAGTTTGCCCAGAAAAAAAAAGATTATAGTTTGCCAAGTGATATGTTACTGTATCCATGTCTCGGAGCATGACTACGCACATTGCACCCACTAGCCGACCTGACTACCACAAACAGACACTGCTAAGATGAAGAAGAAGAAGAATATCCATCAAGGTAGACAGGGCCATTGCCGTTACATATATTGCCCTAACTAGCGACTTCGACTTCATGGTAGACTACCACGAATGGCAAGGTGAGCTATCTCAAAAACAAAAACAATGATAAAAAACAAAGACTAACACCAAATGGAGCAATCCACAGTAAATGCACAAAAGCCATGCGATTCCATGCCAACAATTGGT